TCATAACTCGAAAGTGAATATAAAATGTACACACCTAAATGAGTTTGGTGCTGAAATGCCACTTTCAGATGCATCCTGTGTGAGCAGTTTCCCACTGAGGAGCCAAGCAGACTGCTGTCCATCTCTGGTTTATCATCATCATCAGTCAGCCCCCTCCCCTGGGGGTTCCACGGCACAGAGATCTGGTTTCAGAGCTGTCCTTTTGGGCCCCTCCTGCTGAGAATGGTCACATCCTTAGCTGATGCCAAGACACGTGATGGGTCTGTGACAAAAAGACAGAGGAAAGGTGAGAAGAATGGTTGGAGAACGGAGGGATGCTTATCAGGAGAGTTCAGCAAACAAAACTATTCTTCCGCAACAATTCTTTTTCAGTCCTGTGTTGCACAGAATCCCACAAAGCAAATCTGCTCACGTCCCACAAAAAATCAAATAGAAGAATTGTAATGTTTTCAGTTGAGCCCATGAACAGGCCTCCACACTTGGGATCGATTTTAAGATAAAGACAGGAGATAGGATGAGTGAGTGTGTACATGCTGCGTCATCTCTCCTGTGTTGCAAATAAATCATTACCTGTGTGAGGTGAGATGTTTGTGAGAGAAAAGTTTCTGAGGGACCTGCCACCCAGGGGGGAAACCAGAGACCAAACTCAAAAGCACAGGCGATCGACGTACTTGCCTCTGTGCCAAACTCCACCACCTTCTCCACCACCCCTCTCCTCAATCAGCCCTCGCTGTCCTAATCCAGTGTTTACACAAAAAGCTGGGCAGTAATGATAGCCATGAGACCATGGACCACCCTACACCCTACGTCCCTACTCACCCTCCTCTCCTCAACTGCCCCTACCACCTTCCACGCTAACCCAACGCTGTTTTCACAGGAGCCAAATACCTTAAATACATAATTAGCGGGGTCATTTGTGCAACTTGGGGCCCCTGCAAGGGCATGAGCGTGTCAGTGTGAGTTTGTGGGTGGACAGAGGGAGAACAAGGAGTGTAGCGGGGGCAGGATACGAAGACGTACGAGAGGCACGGACAAAGACGTGCATTCATGGCCTTGGCCCCAGACAAACTTGGCTGTCGCCATCTTCAAAGGCCACCTCTGCCTTTCCTCAAAACCCAGAAGCCACAGGTTGGGGCCGAGAGGAGAAACATAACAGGGCGACATGGAGGGAAGGAGGAGAGGGGAGGACGGGGGAGGAAATAGAGGGGTGTCAGGAATGAAGCAAAGGTTACAAGATCTGTAATCTGGGAAGGAAACAATTATGGCTGATTCAGCAGGGTTTTGAGGCTGTAAACTAAGGGCTAACTAAAAAAGTTTTATATCCTATAAAGAAAACGATTATTTACCAAAAGTATTTGATTTTTAAAATGTATTTACACTAAACATGGAAATGGAGGGGGGTGATTAAAGCTTTTCAATGCATCCGCCACTTTGCACCACCAGCAACACCGCTATGACCCCTGAACCCTGAACTCTGACCCTGTGCATTGTGGGTAGTCAAATCACCCAAAATTCCAGTCGCCATGTTTCACACTGGGAGACCTCCTTTGTATTGTTCATCCGCACACACACTCACACACTTTTACGTACTTGCACATGCGTGCGCACACACACACACACACGGAGCTCATTCAGCAGTCCACTTCACACCTTGTCATTTCTGTCGTCCCCCCTCTGGCATTGTTTATGAAAGCATGTCCACTTAGTGCTCCCCTGTCTGCTCCCTCTTGCTGTGGTGCCGATTACCCACACCGTGAGACCACTTATTCCTTCTGTCCATGTCCTCTCCTTGTTCTTTTCAATCCGCCATTCTTTCTTCTCTCTATACATCCTTGCACTCTCACTCCTCAGGGTATTCACATCCCTCTCTCCTGTGCTCCATCCTCTTACCCCGTCTTTTCCCACCATGACATATTGCACTCTCTCCTGTTTCTGCATGCTGAGCACACTGACTCTTCACCCCCCCCCCCCCTACACACACACACACCCCAACTGTCTTTATGAATGAATCAGTGCACGTCAGCTAAAAAAAGAAAAAAAAAATCAATCAAGCCTCCTCTCATCCTTTTATCTATACTTTATTCACTTTATCCCCGGTTCACTGGCTTGCAGAGCTGCTGTCTCTCTGATCCTTTCTCTCTTTCATGTTGTGCCTTTCTTTATCTGGCTCCCTCCTAAGGTAATAAGTGAGGTGTATGTCCGGGAAGTGCAGAGGAGAGGGACTTTAATGTCCCTCAGCCCTGGGATTAGGATGAGCTGCTCAGGGAAAAGCAATAAAGCCCCCAGCATCAGCCGTCTAGTTGCTGGTGGATCCTGGAATAAAGCCCAGCTCTTGCTCAGCCTACAAGCCTGGAAAAGCTCACATTTCCTGTGAACACCACCACCCTCAGATCCAGCTTCTGTCTGCCTCCTGCTGCAGCACCAACACGTGTGGACTCCTCTCTTTTGAGCTCATATATTTTGCATATTATGTAGTCCCTTAGATAAACCTGTAAATCTGCTCATAACGAGGAGGCTGGTGTAATTTTTCTGGTGCTGGTTAATATATAGGTTTCTCTTCTTCCTCCCTCTGTTACTCTGTTCAGCTTAATTACTTCATTTTTACTTTCCATAATTTCACCTCAGCCCCGATCGTCTCATCCTTTAGTGATGTACAACACCTCGTTATACATGTATCCTTACGTGATATGAAACAGTTCTGCATAAACATTTCTAAAAACAATGTTTTGTGTGTTGCATATCAGTCAACGTGTGAATACACATTATCCCAAATGCATCCAACAGTGTTCAAACCTAAAGCAATGTGTCATTTTGCTGCCTGTCTATGACATCATATCCCCTTTGCAGCTTTAAAGATAGTTGAAATTTACTTTTTGTCCAGTTTTAAGCTACACTTTTACAATTGACTTGTTGTATGATGAATGTTTCCACTCACTGGATGTCTGGACTTTAAGGTTTCAGAGAAACAAACATCAGTGACAGTGCGGCTCAAACATTTTTCAGGGTTTATACTGGTTTTAATCTGCAGGTTAATTTGTGGAGAGGAGATGACCTCTGCAGATAATTCACCTGCCAATGGATAAACAATGAAAGAATCCTCAAAATGGACACGCACACTGCACTATGGTAGATGTAGTGAAAAAAAACAATCCCATGATCCCATGCTGCTTCGCAACATCACCAAAGTTTTGTTATTGTTTGTTAGAAAATAACATATTGTGCGGTGAGATGTCATCCTAAAGACACAACACAAACAAATCATGGGACTCAACATCCAGGGAACAATTTCATGAGCAGAAATATATTTATTGTTGAAAACATAAATATATAAATTATGATTACTGCTGTATTTATCCAATGGAAGCCCAAAAGAAAAGTACCAAAGGCCAAGTGATAGTGTGATGGCATTTTTCTTAGGTCAAGTCTCTCCAAGCATGGTCCCTGTTTAACTGAGAACACTATCTTACACTGGTGTAGATGTGAACAGTGATAAAACATCAGCCTTATAAATAGAGCACCACACAAACGATGGTTGGTGAATTCACAGCAGTTGCTGATACATCCATCTTTCAGTCAGTTTTTTCTTTACTCGACCTCATAGTGACTCACTCTTCCGCCTTTGATTACTAGAGAACTTCTCTTCCTCTTTTGAACACGGGGGGGGGGGGTTGTTTTTATCCCCTGGTTGGCCTGGTGACACATTCACTGTTACAGTAACTGGTAAGGCAGTAATTGTTTATCCCATCAGGGTCACAGGTTCAGGCCAGCACTGTGCTGTTTCCAGGCCACCTCTGGGCACCCATCATCATCCGTCCCCGAGGGCACGTGGCTGCACAAGGTGTGAGTCCCTTCAGCGGGTGGAGCGATCAGAGATTTGTTCCCCTGTCAACAGAGGAGTGAAGACTGGCTAAACAAGGAGCCCATTCATGCGCTTGTCGATTTGCTTTGCCTGCTCATTCACTCTTTGAGGTGGACTTTGCTCTTTCCAGGCACATGTGTGTTTGTGAAGCAGACCGGGCGGACATCTTTCTTATCAACATTAAAGTGATATGAATGAAAAATAGCATCATATAGCAGAGACATCTTGTGCGCGAACACACGAACACACGAACACACATACACACATACACACAAACACACGCACACACTCTGTCAGTACATACATACTTGCACATTAGATTTTCTCTAAAAATGTGGTTGGTGAGCACAAACGTGTTACAGAAAGGATTTGGGGATGCTTATCTTAGAATAAGCTACAGTATGGCCACTCACTAAGGTTGCCATGTTTGAGTCAGTCAGTCCGACCTTTTCATAATTCTGACGCACACACAGTAACAAGCATGGCAGCCATTTTTTCCCTTGTCTATTCCACCCCCTGCCCATGTTTTTGCATCTTTTCCAAAGGATTAAATACAGACATTCAACCACAACAAAAGAATTAAACATAATTCCTGCTTGGATATAAGTAAGCATAATATATTTCATAACAAAAATAAAGCATCTTCCTGTACTGACTCTCACATCTCCTCCTTGCACACATATATCCAAACCATTTACAACACTTGACATCATTCGGATATACTGTAATATAATAAGAAAACATGGATGACAAGGATAACAACAAATGACATTGAGATTGTGATACTGATGGTTACAAAGAACCGCAGCACACAAGACTCTTGCATGTCTCCAAAATCATGGAAATGTCTTTTAGGTTCTTTCTGTCTTCCTTTTGCACTGAGACAAAAAAAAAAAAAAATTAAAACATCCACATGTATAAATAGTTTGTGAGTAGCGGTGCGTCCTTTTTAGATTTCTCTGTGCACTGCAGGTAGGAAAAGTCACAGACCACCAAGGACTCTCAGAGAAGATTTTTTTGTTCACTCCGCAAACATCCAAAAACTCAAATTGTTTAATGCTCCAATGAGAGTCTTTTGAAAAATAAAACACCTCCATAACTCCAGTGCTCGCCATTGTTTTCCTTTATCTCTCTTTCTTCCTTCCTGTGTATGCAAGAGTCATTTAAACAGGGCAGGGCAATTTTATGTCGCCCAGCTGGAGGACATCCACTGCTGTTTTTGAGTCTGAGCACCAGATTCCCACGAAAGCCTGATACAACTGTTTTATGGCCATTTCTGTTGCACATCTTGTTCAAACAACGTCGGTCAAAATGTTCAACACAAATCCCTTTCATCATCTCCCTTCGGCCTCTTTCTGCCCGAGCTCCACAGCATATTTCTTTTCTTTTCTTCTTAATCATTGGCAGGGTTCAGTTGTCTGGGTATAGGTGGCGCACCACAGAGGAAGACATCATCCATAATCACTGTTTTTTTTTAATATAAAAAAAGCACCTTTGGCATCTTATGTATTTTTGTCTGTTGTCTATTTTTCTGTCGCTCATTTTTACAGAATTATTTGTCTTTGTAAGACGGAGGTTGCACGGCAGTGGGGAAGAGGACCGAGCAGGTCTCCTGTTTGTTGACGTCCTCTTATTAGGTTCCTCCCACACTGAAGTCCCTTGTTCTGATTGGTCTCACCTCACGTCCACTGCGGGAAAGAGAGCAGAAGCTTGGATTAGCATCACAATTTTCCAAATAGAAAACGTGTTACATGATGGAAAAAAGGTCAATACTTTTTTGCATTTTGTGCCCAATTGCATCAATTTGTTCATGCATTTCAAACAAGACCCACAATGTTCAGAATAATTTTTTCTCCAGATTTCAAAGGCAGCAACCTTGATGGTGCAAAACAAAATTCTCTCTCATAGTGACAGGCAGCAACGAGAGAAGGTGAATATTGGTGTTGTCAAGATGACGTGGTGAAGGAGAACCAGAGCAAGACAAGTGAGACATACAGCAGACAAATAGTGGGTGTCGGCTTTTCGTATAACACAAGAAAAAAGGTGCACACAACCACTCACAATCACAACATGGTGACACAAAGCAAACGTGTGCGGTGTGCATGCTCAGCAAACCACAAAATCAACATGCAGCATTAGGGCACGGAGCATGGTACTCCTCAGCCCTCCCTCTCCTCACACTGATTGGCTGTGATGTGATTTGCAACGGTGATTGGCAGAACCTCTTTGCACCCTGATTGGGCCAGTGCAGTGCAAAAAGGTTAGGGGGCGTCACGGTGCTAAAGTCCTACCTGTTCCCTTCACAGCTCTCCAGTGGACTTTGGGTAATGAGTGCAACTTTATTATGTCGCCAATAAATCCTTGCTGGGCCTTAGCTTTTTAGGTTTCCTTTTTTTACCTTTAGCCCTACGGTGGCCTGAAAACACAAAGTCGGGTAGGGTGGATAGGAAGCAGGGTTAAAAGCAAGAAGCAGGGTTCATGGCACAGAAAGAGGTACAACAGCCCTGGGACAGAAGCAGAGAGTGCAAGGATATGACACACTATAAATACTTCAGATGCCTTATCAGTACACATCACAGCGCTTATCTGCTCCCAGGGAGAGAAAAGCTTGAGATCAAGGCACTGGTGGATTTACCTGCTGTCATGCCAAGCAGCCTTTGTACAGCCTTCCTTAACACGCACCACTCACACACACACACACACACACACTTACGCACACGCACACATCTTCATCTAACAACGAGCAAAACACACAAGCTTTACAGTTTTGCAATAGCAGGCCACCTCACAGGTGTGTCTGTCTGTTTGGAGGCAAGATAGAAACAAGGTCACCTAGTGCAAAGCCAAGGAGCCAGACAGACAGAGACCAACGGACAAACACGAGGAAGGGAGGAAAGAAAGGCGATGCATGATGACGTGGGGATGAGGGCGGGGCTCAGACATCAAACTCAAACTTAGTGAGTGATTTGCAGAATGCTGGGCAATATTTGTGATACAGTAATAATACTATCGTTACCTGTTTCTGCTTCTGAGTGCTCCACCACATGATGTTGTGACGTGCACACACACTCCAGGTGATCTTCTAACCGCACAAAGACCTCTTTCAGCTTGGGTCTCCTCCTCACATACTCCACCTTGGCCACCTGAAGGGAGGAAAAGAAGAAAAGGTTAGCTGCAGAGCCAGCTCCGGCACCATCATCACTCTTCTCAGAGAGTCATCAATGAATGCGTACACTCTTTGCCTGTCCGGCACCATCAGGAGGCGTAGCACTGTGACTGATGACTCTTTCATAAATCGATTCATAAAAAAAAAAAAAAAGCCCAGTGTTTGAAGTGTGACGGCAGCATTCCTCCGAGGTTGATGCATTGAGTTCCACTCGCTATGTGTTCTATGGGCTGTTGATCAGATGTGTAAATACTGAATGGAGTGTATGACCCTGTCCAAGCATACTCAAACAATGGGAGAGGAGAAACGGAGGATAGGGGGGAGCGGTGTATGCCCTAACACCCAGAGAGGGTTTACTCTGGCCTGAGAAGACAGGCTGGGAGATCCCGCCCTGCTGGAGCATCCGTATCGAGACAGACACAAGCCTAAACTCCCTCTCCCTGTTCCGACATGTAGGCTGGTGTTAAACCACATTACTATTTCCCCATGGGAAAGGGAAAGTGTTGCTTAATATGTGCATGTAAGGAATACAGTTTACACGGTCTAATCTAAGCAGTAGAAGTCCAGAGAACAGCCTTTCCAGTCTAACAAGCACAAAAGCAACGCAGAAATTCCTGTCCTTCAGTCCAGCTAACACCCTCTCCATTTGACACAACGGGACTGACCTCCACCCACCCAACAGCTAGAAATGAAAAAGACCAATCCTCAGAGGGTTATGAATAGGGTATGTTGATTAAAGCTTAGATGAAAGCTGAACAGAGAAGGTTGCGTGGAGGTTATGATGATCTTGTTGTGTAATTCAGGGGAGGTGGCCGCATGCTTTTCCCTCTCTGATGTTAGTGCCAAGGGCAGGTAACCTCCACATCCACCACTGAGGGGCCTGGGGGCCACATGGAAACAATATCCCCTGCCTCACCTATCTTCCTGGTCACTGCATATGGGAGGATATTGGCAGACAATCTCCTAACGCTCTCTGGTGTTATGAACAACATGGCTTTGCAGGCTCTCACACACACACACACATTGACAGAGTGCCAAAACTGATGAGAGGCTTTCTTGCTCTATCCTGTGATGGCACAACGCCAAGGCTGACTCTGAGGGTGGAATTAGTCATGCAGACAGACGAACATACCAATACGCCGTAACATACCAAGATGCTGCCTTGCAACAGTTGCTTTCGGCAGAGAGGAGAAAAACATAAAGAAAAAGAAGAGAGACAGTGAAAAGAGGGTAAGCAAGCAGAGGAAGTATGCAGTGAGCAAACACAGGACAATGGTGTCTGGGTTAGCTGTGGTGTGTTTGCTGTTATCAGGCCCTGATATAAAGAGAGTGGGCGAGCTGAGAGCAGGAAGGTGGACCATCACTCTCAATAGGGAATGTGTGTGTGCATGCTTATGTGCATGCGTGTGTGTGCAAACAGAGGGGGTTATTTAAGGAAGGGGGGAGGACAGCCTGACCATGATCATGACTAGCATTAAATGACATTCATGTGTTACTCATTAACATTTGGTGTCTGGGTTACCCACTTGGGGAATTTATTAACACTGACGCTGACTCTGAGAGGATAGATAGAGAAGTTATCAGAGGTATCACGGGATGACACGAACTTCCCAGAAACCACTGCTAATATCTAATCGAATTATCTGGGATAGGAGCGAGAGCAAAGGAGTAAAGCGAGCTGAGAGATGCAGCTGTCTGTGCGGACGACTCTGCTGCCATTGGTTACGGGAAACTCGGAGGTGAGGGGGTTCAGAAGTTGCCAGCCAGACGCCAAACAAGTCAGCCATGTTGGACACTCATAACTGAGTCTGATCCTAGTGACAATCACACACATACAAACCCAAACTCTCCTGGAGAAACAAACAGCTATTGACAGATGGATAAAGCGATGGGCCCCCTGGATGAGAGGCCCAACAGCAGGCCAGTCTCCTTTCCCCTCACACAGCAGGCCTAAAAACACTCCCTGCAACAGTTACTTCACACACACTCAAACTTTATATTAGTCAGTCAGTGTGTATAACTGCAACATAACACTTCTCAGTCTGTCTGCTACTTTGTCAAAAACCTACTCTTTCTGCCTCTTTCTTGTATTGTGGGAAAGTGTTGACGTTACAGAACTGGCGACATTCCCTCCTACAAGTTTTATACTTTACGTCCATATTAAATTTCCATTTCCTTCAATTTTAGCCATTTCTTGTTCCTTCCAGTATAAAGAGCACAAGCCTCTTGTGCAGAGTCAATGACTTCCCACATAAAACATACATCAGAAGAGACCCCCATGCTACGACAAGGGGCCCCACACTCTCTTTGTATAAATCAAACTGCTCTAAACTCCCTAGAAAGCCAGGGCCCTGAGAAAGGGTCCCCCTGAGCGGCTTTGGAATGATATCTGAGCCAGAGGGTTTGGGGTGAGGCAGGGGGCTCTGGGAAGTGCAGCCCCTCGGTTTGTCCTCAGTGTCTCCCCTGCTCTCTGTGTGAAGCCAATTGTCCTGTTTGGGTTAATTGGGAATTCCCTGTGCACCAAGCACTGATGAGAGCCTGATGGAGGGGAAAGTTTTACCCGGGCCTTCCAAGGAAAACACAACGGGGATGTGGATGTGCACTGTGGGCCATTGTGAGCTGGAACAGTGACAGAATCGAGCAAAAGTGAACCAACATGTATGTTTGGAAAATGTAGGGGTGGAAGGTGGCAGAGTGAGGTCGCAATTCATCTGCCAGGAGGAATATTAAGCAAGGGAGACGCTTATAGCTTGTTCGGTAGGGGGGGGGGGGGGGGGGGGTCTTGTTGAGATGCTACAACTGTGATCAAGTGGAAGAGAGGTGTGGAAAGTTCTGGGGAAGTGGAATGTGGAGAGGCTCTCCACGTTTCCATCGGCAATCAAAGAAAGAAGGAAAAATGACACCCAGAGGACAGGCAAGATGAACTGCAGAGGAGGAGGGTAAACCACAGAAGACGCAGACTGAACATCAGACAAAGACAGTCCAGACAACCTGCTGCTGCCCTCTGCTTCAACCCTCCCACAAACACACTCAGGGAGATGTGCGGCAGCACCTATCACAGACGGTGTGTGGAGAAGAGAGGAAGCAAGGAGGGCATTTGTCGCTTCACACTGGCTTGTCATGCCAAAACAGCACAGCAATCTCGCCCAAACTCTCTCTCTCTTTCTCACACACTCACACACACACACACATTAACGTATCACCAGATGTGGATATCTCTCTGCCCCTAACCACATTGTGCACTGAGCTTCCCGGACCCTCAGAGATCGAAAGAACCATTATGCAATATCAAATATCAAAGAAGGCAAAGAGTGTAATCTCCCCACTTCTTTATTCCCTCTCTTCTGTGTCTTCAGAGAACAACTGAACTGAAGATAGACACACATTGCTGTTCACATAAAAGAGGGAAAAATAAATAAGATTTTGATGAGAGAGTAAAAAAAGACAGATGGAGACTGACAGAACGGTAAAATTAAAGAGTGGGAGATGGCTCTGTTGCAGGAGAGAGACAGCAAGAGTGAAGAGGGAGTGAACAAGTATTTCATAGAACAGACAATCAGACTCCAGGGCTGAAGACTGGCCACTGAAGTCAGTGGGGAAGAGTGAAAGGGAGGACAGGAGAGGAGGAGTCAAGGGAAAATGCAGAAATTGTAAAATATGATTCAAATATGGCTGCTACTTTTCCTGCTCGAGCTGATGCGTTCCAGCTGGTGTAGCAGTAGCCAAACTTTCCGACTTCTGGCTTGGTCGGGACGCTCCCATGGTCTCTGACCCGGCCCACACCCCCCGCCTTGCACACCATGCACACATGTATGCACACACATACACAAAAAACTCCCTCGGCCTTCTTCATATAGCTGGAGAGCTGAGTGAATCAAAGGGAAAATAATTCACAGATGCGAGGGACTTCAAACAGGGAGGCCCCTCTTTTCCCGTCTCCCCCCCACACGTAATCCACGGGACCCCTCAGACGATCATAAATCACACTCACTGTATCACCGTCACACTGTCTTTTATTTATGAAACACCCCGTAAGTCAGGGTCCCACACTACAGCTACTGCTTCCCCCAACACCCGGATCTGACCCATAGTCACTGAGGGAACTGTCACTGTGTGTGTGTGTGTGTGTGTGTGTGTGTGTGTGTGTAGGGGTCGGGGCCAGGGCCATTGCAGAGAGATGTGTGGACCCCCACACTCAGCACTGTGGCTATATCCGCCTGGCCGCTGTCAGCCTCCACTTTGATCCAGCAGCCATCAACACTTCATTACTCTGCCACCCGTCTTCCTCTTGCGGCCACTTCACATAAATGACCTCGTCCCCGTGCCGCGGCAGTGGAGTTTAGGTAGCATAGAGCACACTCTCTCTCTCTCTCACACACACACACACACACACACACACATACAAACAATTTCTTGGGTTGACACAGATGTGCGCTGACAACTCCCCCCGACCTTTGCAAAACAGTTACGCATCGAGTGCCATCAAAAGTTTCCATCTACTGAACCAAACCAAATGAGAGAAACTGAACTGCATTGTCTGCAAATGATGCCACATTAGATCATGGCACCTCATGAGTGCAGTGATAGTTGCAGTGACTCCCTGAATAGAACCAATTACAGGATTTTATATACAGAGTGAAAATCAAATTACATAAATACAATTTAGAACAGAAAGTAGTGTAATTAAGTGAGTTTTGGTTTACTTTGTGGGTCTCAAAGGTGCGATTAGCAGCTCAGTTATACTTTCTCGCCATTTTTCTTATCAAGTTTATATTTATGATGTAAAGCTATGTCGGAACTGTCTTTGACATTCTTCATTTACTAAACCTTTTGGATTTACCTCATTTGCCTCAAACTGAATCACAAATATCACATGCAGTCAATTCTGTTTCTGCTTATATGTGAATGAGGAATATAATAATAACGTACAGACCAAATGTACGGCAGAAGCCTTAAGAGTTAAGAGTGAGAGGATGAGTGACAGCTCCATTGTGTGTCTGTGTCATGTGCTGTTTACTCAGCCCCATTGGACGAACAAACAGAGAGGTATTTAGATTTTACACACACGCATATGTGTTTAGACAAAAAATAATGTGCAAAGGAGCGCCCAAGTGCACATGCACACAGAGATCCCAGTCAAATTCTTTTACTAGTTCATAAACAAGTTTGTCAATGAAGCGGTAGATAGAGATAAAAATATGCAGAGGAAGAGCAGGGAAAACAGAAGGGATGATAAGGAAGAAGTGAAAAAGAAAAAAATATGAGAGTAGGGCTGAGAAAGCGACAACCAGAGCTGACATAAAAAAGAGATAATTTTCCACATGCCATCAAAATGCCAACGATATGCAGTTTTAACCATGATATTTATTTTCATTACTTCCATTTCCTGCCATTTCCTAGATTGTAACAACTCTACGAACATAACACTAAAACAAAGCGGCACGCTGTTCTGCCAGCCTTAAAGAAAAAAGAGAAATGAGGAAAAATTTATGTGAGGGTTACGGTTAGGGTTAACCCCTAACCTAAATTAATGGAAAAGAGAGGGAGGAGTCAACATGCTTGAATAGGGGGAGTAAATATGGTGTCAAAGAAAGTGCAACAGGAGGTGGAGGTGAAGGAGGAGTCAAATGAACGCTGGATGCATGATGGACTGAATACATTAAAGTTTAATTTGCTCATTAAGAATTCGGTTCGCCCAAACGGAACCATCTGTAAATAGGCCATTATTTCACAGACAACATTTGGACTTGTCACAGTAGGAAAAGCACAGGTGTAAAAAATGAAATTATTTAATGGGACTCTGGAATAGAACGCCATCATTAAAGTAATCAGGAACAGCTGGGCCTTTCCTACTGCGACAAGTCAAAAATATCTGTGAACGAGGCCTATGGCTGACGAGACAGTTCCCAATTTACTGTGTCATGCCAGGCGTGCAGACAACACAAAAAATATCTAACGCAAAACTTGCTTGCACACAAATTAAGTTTCAGCTTAATGCAAAAAAAGTTCAGAAAGCATGAGAGGAGGGGAAAGAGTTAGACTTTAAGATCAGCCTCTTCTCGCCCAGCCTAGTCCTATTTTAAGTTGGCTTTTTTTTTTCTATTACCCTGCCACTGAATAAGACAGGCTTGTACAGTACAGGGCCTGCACAGACCCGTTCTCTTTTTTGGGTCCATGGTATGAAAAAGGAAAGAAAGAGAAGACAGGAATGAATAAGTAAAGGTGCATTTGGACAAATGCATAGTGGCATGAGATGGAAAGAAACACAGTGAATGTGTTCTTTTCCCATCCTTGGCCAGAAGAAGGAAAACAAGCCCGACCCAGGGTAGACGGGCAACATTTTTAGCTTTCTAATAAATGGAGGGAGAAGCATGAACTGAACTCCTATTCAGACTAACTGCTGAAATGAGAGACAGAAAGGAAAATCTTGGCATGAGACAATATTTCTCACACACAATGCCGTGAATGTCTCCGGACTGGAGGGAGCCCTGAAGGATGACCTTTTGCAGGGATACAACGCCTTTCAGCCCCTATCACCCACCAGTGCAAGCCCCACGGAAAAACAGCAACCGTGAAAACCCTCCCTGCCCACCACGCCTGAAGCTCCTTCTCCAGTCTGTGTGCACATTTTGTCCTCAGTGTCATGAGAGGGACACGGGCAAAGTCGCATGGATCTCAGCATTCCAGGAATAGCTGAATCAAGCCTTAGAGAGTCTTGCCCACCATCGTCAGTGTCTCTCCATCCATCCTGGTCTCTGTGATCACAGACAGAGCTCCTATTGAGGATGACAGACACCAACTGTCTGGCAGACGGAGAGACAGACGAGCTTGCATGCAGACAGACAGACACACAGGGTTGCGCTGTATATCCCAGCTTGACTCTCTTACCACACTATGAGTCAGCATTTCTGACCATAAACCTCTGTACTGGATGCAGCGCTCTGTGCCCCACAGCGGCCGTCTTGTCAGCGCAGCTTTACTGTCTCAGAGAGAATGTCCGCCTATCCAAACTGAAATCTCTCTGACCTGTGCCAGTGTGCCAAGGGGAAGGAGGCAGCAGCAGGCGGGGTTGGTATTTGTTTTATTACTCTGCTTGCCAGTCGAGGCGGCAACTTTAAAGCCTTGCATGAGGAGCAGGACAGAAAGCAATGTCCAAGTGCCCATGGCCAGCAAGATCACAATGATTAAAGAGCAGATACAATAGAGTGCATAGATAGACTCATAGAGAAACACAAACATAGTCGGAGTGTTCCGGGCCATCCTGTTTATCCTCCAGTTGTCTTTTACTCTCACAGAACAGAGGACATAACTCCCATACCTCCAAACAGAGCTTTGCAGTGGCTAACAGGCTGTAGTGTAAATACAGCTGAAATATGACTCAACTCGAGCCACGGTGTCTCCTCTGATCCTTAGCAGAAGGACGTGTTTTCAAGCTGGCGATGCCAAAGAGCTTCTGAGAGCAGTGCGACCCCCTTCCAGTGCTGTCTCTTTCTCTTTGTCACCTCTTCTCCTCCGGGCTCACCGCTTCCAGAAAAGACAAAGGGCCAAACAAAGGGGGAGCAGAGGAATGGCTTTGCAGTAACCAGTGACACTCAGACATTCTCAAGATACAGGCGCCTGTTTCTCTGTCTTATATCTGGCAAGGGCATCCGTGTCTGGTGGACCCTTCAACAGATGTACTGGCTAAAGGCACCAACATCCCTTTCTACATATCCTCTTCCTCTCCTCTTCCTCCCCCTCCCCCTCCCTCCGGCAGTCCTGGCACAGCCACGCTGGCAAACACAGTGATGAGGGGAAAGGATGGTGATTGGCCGAAATGGTCAGAGAGAGAGGGGAAGGAGCAGGACGGTTAGTGCGGCCACTTTTTCAAGGAAGAGGCACAGAGCAGAGGGGTATTGTGAAACACAGAGGAGCTGCAAAGGACAGAGGGAGTAAGGTTGGAAAAAGGTGTGAAGGAGGGCAGGTTAACCCAACCTCACCTCCCATGTGATTTACTTACCTGCTGCTGAGGGAACGCAGTGATTTGTGTGTGGAGGTGGGTGTGTTTGTGGAATAAATAGGGTAACTGTGATATATTGGGTGTTGCAGTAATGATCTTGACTCTGTGTGGATATATGCATCCTTTTTGGCATGTCTATCCTGTAGGAGCTTGTGTCTTACCTTGACAGTGCGGTGGTGCTTGCGAGAAGGGTGACAGCGCATGTTGCTGGTGTTGCAGCAGCCCGTGCAGCGTTTCACCTCCACACAGGGCGGCCAAATCAGGAAGTTGGCAGACGTGGGATCCACCTGGCTCCTGGGGATCTCGTAGATCACCGTCCGCGTCTTACACACCGCTGGGACCGCCTCCTCTACTGGAAGAGGGACAGGGAGAGGGAGGAGTCGAGTTAATGCGTTCAGTCTGTATGAGCATTCAGTGACACATTTTCCGAATGCAAGCGCATGCTGATGTATTGTCAAAATCCGTCTTTCACCCTCCCAGCTGCTTCTTGCATTCCTTCACTACTCATTATTTGATGACTCACTTGATGTGGGAGCTGTTCGTCCTACCTCAGTTCACACCCAATCTGCTATAAGGCTCTTAAGAACACATACTATCCAAAAAGCTGATCTCATATCAGCTAAGGAGCTTTGGGATCAAGTCAGTGAGACACAAAGAAACTGCTTCTTTGTTCAGAGGGCTCACTGGGGTTAATGCAGCATGACTAGGCCAGAAAACCTTTATGTCTGCCAGTGGGAAATCTAATAATGGCCTTTGACCCTATTGGCCATAGTGAAAAGAAGAAGGCAGCAAGCACTCATTTCAGATTTAACGCCCCAACAGGCACTCAGACCTCAAGATGTGACAGAGTGTACAGTAAGATACCATTATGTCGTAAAGATGATATGTGCATCATATACAGAATGTAAGGGTTTTTGTGGACAGCTGCCTAATAGGTATTCTGTATCATTCACTTATGGTTCGGCACACATGCATGAAATACAACCAGCCACTTTATCCTGCATTGCTTCAAATGCTACGCTGCAAGAAGTCTTAACACACAGATCGCACACGACAGGGTAATCTCCGTGCCTCGATCAGATATCGTACCGCGTGGCGTTTTATGAAGAAATCTGACTGAGAGCCCTGGCAAGCTGCAACTTGAAACCTGAATGCCTGGAATTTCCACGCTCAAGGATATATTTCTCTCCTGACGCGTGTGTCTTAGATCTCCAAGCCCCTGGCCAATTAAAAGGCTTCGTGTCAGACGTCCCGTTTAACCTCAAACACCAGACTTGTTTCTCATGAGTCCTTCATTGCCATAAATACTGGGTAGATGTCTTCATTATGGTTCCTTTTATCCACAAATAGCCACATAAAAGCCACTAACTATTAGCTTTGTTTGAAATTAGTGTAAAGTGATCGGTTTCACCTCCTGGGAACTCACATGTCAGGGGTGATATTTAAGATATAGGTTATTTTTAGGTTATTATGACACTGTAATATGTTGTGCCAAGTTGTGATGTACATAGTGCTGAATGTAATCATGACGCAGCCTCTGAGCGGTACAGTGAAGCATATACTGTAGTATTTATTTAGTCTTACCAATACTCCTCTTGCGTCGGCTGTGGAGCTGGGAGCTCTTCAGGTCATTGTAGTGACCAGGGTGACGGGAGAAGTTCTTATGGTGGTTGTGGTGTTTGTGGTGCTTGGGCTCCTCGATAACATCATTTCCCGTACCTCGTCAAAATAGAAGGCAGCCATATTAATGTCACACAGAGAGGAAGCAAAAACAAACAAAAGGCTCATTTAATCAATAAACACGCTATGAGTCTGTAACCGCTGCTGCCACTTTCACAGTGTTGAATGACTGCGGTGGGCGTCTGGCTGGCCTCCTCAGAAGGGCTGCATGGGATCTACTATTGATGTTTTATATACCCCTTCCACAACAAACAATGAGTCGGTTAGTCACACAGCCATAATGAGATGGTAACTTCCTACAGGCTGCTTGTGCTGTATGTAACACATGCTTTGATTCCCTTAAGGGCTTAGGGTTCCCTAGCAGGCGGACAGGCAGGCAACCGCTGATGATCACAAATTTGAGGTAAACAGACCAGCGTACACAGGGCAAAGGCAGGAGGCACAGTTTTACACAGACCTCTGAGTAATTTGGAAGCTTTGTGTGTCAGCCCCACTCACTCATATGTCTGAACTTTCCCAGAAGGAATGAAGTAGTCTGGATGCAGGTGAGTCAGCATGAGCCTTCAAAAACAACCGGCTTTCACAGACACACATCGGGCTAAAGTGGTCATTTGACAGGTGGTACTCTGCTGCCATTATACCTGCGCCTAATTAGTGGTTCTGCGCCTCTCATTAACCTGAAGATGTTTGCTTTTTCAATCATTCTGCGGCTTGGAAAAGTACATGTTTTGCCTTGCTGCACTGCAACCTCTCCAACTCAGGTCTAATATAGCCAGCTCAGCTAATTCACAGTCGTGGTCACCTGATAAAGCTTGCTTGTTTTGGTCCCCACCTAGAATATGAGGAGTTACAGAAGAGTGCCAGAGCAGCAATAAAATGATAAAGCTTGTTCGAAGGATACTGCCCTTTTCCAAAGAGCAGAGTCTGAGTCGTGTTTACTAAGTAGGTGGGTCCTGTCTGTATATGTACTTCATACCTACCCACCTGGAGAACACCCACACTTGTACAATTAACATAAACGCACACTGGCAACTACGCAAACTCCTCATATCCTCCTTAACATGCTAAAACCCAATGTACACCCTCACAACAAAGCTCAGCCATGGGCAAACACATTCCACTCTTTCTGCTTCTTTGTGCTCTGACCACATTCATCAAAAGGGATTTTGTTCACCTATACCTGGTCCTCCTCTGGGATTGGTTGTTTATTTGCTTTCGGATGCCTTCTTTTCCCAGGTCTGACAGGTATCAAAACCAATAACGTCCCTTGAGTGAGAGTTGAGGGAATTTCCTATTAGCCTTTTGTGTAGTCGGTTAGTCAGTCAGACGGCCGGTGACCCAGAACCGAAAGGTCTACAGAAAGGAAGTGTTGACTGCTGCTGAGGAGTTAAGCAGAGGACTGCGCTTCAAGTCTGTGAGGCCACTGTACCCACATACAGAGACACACACAAACCTACTGTACATATGTCACACACGCTCCCCAGTGCATGTCATATACGTGTAGACACACACCTACTGAACACTCTTTTCACTGTCTAGTGGACTCATTGGGATTTTCCCACCTTTTAACGCTGCAGTCACCAACAGAACACCCACTGCGCTTTCTCAAGCCCTACTGCACAAATCCTGCTCTTCATCTCCCCCCGTCAGAGCAGGACAGGAGTGAGGGAGAGCTTCACACCGCTGGCCGCCCGGAGACAGTTTGTGTCAGAGCAGAAGGAGAAAGAGGGGGAGGAAATAAAGAAGTCCTTTATGGACTGCACTCGTTTTTATTCAGCACAATAAAAGACCTTTCTGTTGTGTTTTTCTGCACACTGAGAGGACGTGAAGGGAAACGGAGGAAGAGGGAGATCGGGCAAGAGGACGCATGAAACAACAAGGAAAGGCAAGATAAATAAATCGAGACAGAATAAAGATTAAGGTGCAGACAGAAGTGAGAGGTTTGCTCCTCTGTTGGGTCCGCGTGCACAGAGGCTCGTCACACTGAGCCGGGGACAGGAGACAGTCTCTGGCTGTGAATCAGACTATTGTGACATTTCAATCCCTCCATTAATTGAGAGGTTTGACTCCCTCCCTTTACACCTCCTTCACTCTTTCTTTCTCACTGTACCTGTACTTGTGATTGGTGTCACCATAATTCCCTCTATCTGTCTCTCCTCCTTGTTACTTTATAGTCTAATGGCAGAACATCTGGGTGGACATTAGTTCATGTCACATTGTTCTTTGTTTTTTAAGACACTCTAAGTACATAGCAAGTGCTATGGGAGGTAGTCATGCTGCCTGCGAGTGAAGCATGAGCAGGAATACAAACTCCAGAATCCAGCTCCAACCCCATGCCAAGAGTCAGGTTCCCTTTTCTGTCAAAGTCTTTCACTGAGGGAGATAAGAGCAGGCAGGCCGGGGGGCCGCCGAAGGAGAGAGACAGAGATATAGAAGAGGAAAAGCGAGGAGAGACGAGGAGCACCTCAGGGGCCAGACAACCATCTGCAGACTTCAGTGGGGTCATCTCGTCTGTCACTCAGAGCTGGAGACGCTGTCCTTGCAAGACGTGTGCGCACAGACAGAAAAACAAATGCAAGCCTGATCTGAGCAAAGCAGCACTAAATGAAACAAACAGCCACGAGATAAGCCCTGCAGGCCTTCCCAGTGTCCTGACACCTCTGTCCTTACAGGCTGAATTATAAAGCCATCCTACCAGTGATACAGATCTCAGACTATAACAACTCAGGTGCTACCCAGGTAAACAACAAGCATAATCCCTGTCTCCATCAATAAAATGCAAAAAAATCACACCTTTTCAGATCTTTCAGACATCTATGTGCTTAACAATTTTAAAGACAAGCAAATCTGTCTCAGCCTTTCCTCTCTCCAGCCCTGGTTGACATTCTATGCCATGTACAGTTCATCCTATACTGGTAGCTTTACTGTCCTGGCTATCCGCAACAAAAGCTCTGAAAATACCCCTCTGGCTGGCGTCAAAGGTCTTTTAATGGGTTTACCAGGGCCGCCACGCTGGCCCTCAGGCAGATTTATGTCCTCGTAATAATAATCAGCCTACTACTGTTACCCTGCAAAACATTCCTCTGTTTGAAGAAAGACATGTTAATTCAATTATAAACACCTCTTCTCATGCTAGAGGTGCTCCAGGGATCTATTCTGGGCTCATCACAGAGGGGGGTGCAGGTTGGTTTGATTGTGAATTCATCAAGTAAATGCACTAACGATGTGGGGCTATTAGTCCTAATTGGTTCGTTCATCAGAAAAGCAATCGTGTGGTTTTACAGAAGGATATTAGAGTCACAGATCTGCCATGATGTTGCTTTGCTGAATACAAGTTTTGAGGTTAATGAGCTATGACCAGTGCTCACATCAGCTGGGACTGCTAAAAAAAAAAGTAGAAATTACCTATTTCCATCAACAAATCTGTAGAGGTAAGTGCTTAGTTTGATCTATGACTAGAGCCTGTGTAAATAGAGGCTCATGTGATGGGAAACAGCGTCTTCCAGTGCACCCCTGTAACTTAATCTAAGACGGTCTGAGATAGACCTGTCCCCCACCACAGGAGAAGCAGAGCATGAAGCACAAAAAACCTGTGTGACCTGTGCCGTGATCCACTCTCTCTGTTTACAGGGCGACTTCTAGTATGTGTGGCAGTCGGTCGCTATAAAGTTGGCTTATTGCAGCTACAGCAGCTGAGAGAATATGCACAAATAAATGCCTGCCAGTGAAAGTCCACTCTCGTCACATGGACAGTGGACGCACCTATCAGGGTTCCTACTTTATCACGCACGCCAGGACTGCACTTGGCAGCTCCCCTGGGTGCACAGATCTCTCAGCAATTTCCTGTGTGGTGCTCCAGTCACAGGCATGTGATTTGAGCTCGGTTACAGGAGCCATTACTGCTATGATGCTGAATTCACATAACGGCCAAAGCAACAGTAATTTCTCTGATTTCTCACTAAATCCAAGTCGCTCATCAGCAGCTCGCTGATGTGTCACAAGTGGATCCATCATTCATTAAAGTTTATCAGTGTAACAAGAAATCTACACATTCTCCAGCAAAGTTTCTGAAAATGTGGCGCGAGAGCTTAATTTTAAATATGACCTTTGGGTGAATGTATGTGATTGTTATTTGACTTGATCCTTAAGCAGAGGCTAAAATATAAGTGAGGTCATCAACAATAGCAGCCACACACACACACACACACACACACACACACACACACACACACACACACACACACACACACACACACACACA